GTCCATCAGCGTCATGAACATTTATTACAGCAGTAGCAAGCATCACAGTGGACGTGGTACTTGGCGCATGCTTGTTGCTGGTCATTGCATGGCATACTGCATTATCTTGACTGGTTGTCTGTGTCTCAGTTTGCGTAGAGCTCTTGGGTTCTGACATATGGCTCGAGTCAACATGTAGTCTTGAATTATGTTTTTTTTTACAACGTGGACATCCAGGATAATAGCAAGATTCAACTTGATGTCCAAAATTCAAGCAGTTGAAACATAATTTAAATTTAGTGACAACATCCTTACGCTCAGACACTGACATTTGATTGAATTGGTTGCATGCATAAATTCTATGTGGTTCTGTACACAACACACACTTGATAGTATGAGGTTCAGATTTTTTAGCAAAAAAAGCTTTGACATCATGTTTTTTGGCTCCATACTGAGACTTTCCAGTGGTTTGTTTTGTATCAGACTTTGATGAAATATAACCGACTTCATAGGCAGCTATGCGTTTAGACAGAAATGACTCAATATCTTTAAATGCAGGGAGCTCCTTGCTGGTTTGTAGTAGCTGCCACTCACCAGCAGTAGTTGGATCTAGATGACAACAGACAATTGTTGTCAACCAGGCATCCCAATGTTGTACAGGCTGCTTTAAGGCGATAAGAGAGCGAACATGAGAATTAACATGATAATGTAACTTCTTTAATTCAGCAGCACAATTAGTATGTACCTTTGGCGAATTCAATAATGCACGGATATGAACTTGGATAGTTAACGCCTTGTTTTCATATTGCTTTACTAATTCATCATAAGCAGCTTGGTAATTATCTGAAGTAATTGAGAAACTTTTAATCACCTCAGCAGCTGTACCGCAGACACCTGACTTAAGATAATGCATTTTATGAACATTAGGTAAATCTTTGTTGTTGTGGAATAGTGCATTAAAGGTGTCAATGTAGGAAGCCCAATTCTCAATCTCACCATTGAATGTGGGAATGTTAATTGTGGGTAATCTCATTGTTTCATTGACTGATGCACGTGACTGGTTGCTAGGATGCATTGAACTTGATGTTGTACTTGGCCCATGCTTTTCTATAAGCTCTTCCATGTCAGCCACCAAAGTGAATGTAAAGTCATCAAAAACAACCTGTTCAGTGACATCATCATATCCCAATTCAAAATCAACAATGGCTTCTTGAGTGACAGACAACTCGGCCATAAATGCAGTCAATTTTGATAAACGGATTTGCAGTTGGCGCACAGATGAACTGGCCGGAATGAATTTGTTGACATAGTCCCTGACGGAGTTTATCGAGTCCTTGATTGATTGACGCTTCTTGATCAGCTTACGCAATTCCTTAGGCAAAGAAGAGAGGTCGGACTCGAGCATGATGTTGAATTTCACTTATAGATGTAGGACAAGTATAATTGTAGTATGTCTAAAGTTCAACTAACAAATATATAAATGTAAAATGTGCAATATAGAAATAATATAATGAAATGCAATACAGAACCAAATACCAATTAGTATAAACTCAATATGTCTGAATGACTGAATAAAAATATTTTTTTTTTGTATTAATAGTTTATTGATTGTAATATTAATATTACAGTGTTATCTATAATAATAAAAGCGAGCTGATCACGTCGAGGTCACCAAAAATGTCGCATTCAGCTCTTAATATAAATAAAATAAGATAATATTTAAAGTAAGGGTGCCATAAATAAAATAAGATAATATTTAAAGTAAGGGTGCCTTCACGACAAGGCGTTGGTAAGATATAAATATCACACCAACGACCTTAAATGAATGGTAAAGGTATTAAAAGAGATAACCCGAACGCCAATATGGTAAATAATTGATTTTATTATAATTCCAAGTGATGGTAGGTACTTTGGTTCTCTATAATATTACAATGCGTGTTTAGCAATACATAATTAATAATAATAACAAGTGTGAAATGCCTACTTGGCACCCACTAGATGAATAAAATATAATAATAACAAATGCAAATAATAATTCAACAGTGATTGATTAGCACATAAAAATAATAATAATTGAATAATAATTTAAGACAGCTCGTCAGCTGGTTACCTGGAGAACTGGTGTCCGTTAGCGGCTTTGAACCTAACGCTACCGTCTCAGGATGCACACATTTACACAATAAAAATACAATATTATAATAATTAAATGTGTGGCAATCCCGAGAACGTACGACTAACGGGCCACCAGCTCAAACGAATAAATCACTGAACACATGTAATGGACAATGACACTGATGACACAAAAATCACGTGCTTCTGTAAGTATCTCATGTGCGCCCTAAATTGGGGAATAATATTTAATGTTTGAACAAAACAAATGACTGAACGATACTTACAGAAAGCAATTCACAGGAAACGAGCACAGGATGATTGAACGTATAAATGTATAAAATGAATGTATGCTTCTTCAGTATGTTTAAAACGAATGAAATATTGAAGTGTGCTCTGGCTAGGGGTTGACTTGGACCGACCAGCTCGAGAGACGTGCGAAAAAGAAAAGAAAAACAGAAAAGGCGAATGTATTTAATTGAATATTATGAGTTTTTACGAAGACGAATGAATGTATTGAATAACCAATGAGAAAACGCATAATTCACAAAAATGCTATCAGTACCACCTTAAACATTTAATACGAAAAAATACAAGACTTTCGGTGGCACTGAAAGCGACACAAAACTTTACGAACGAAGAAAAACATTAAAAGTGCATAAAAATAACAAAAATACGAAAAAGCGACCGTTGGAATGCACACGTTGCCCATTATCAGTTAGATAACACAACGACGGTGGGACCACAGATATATACAATAACTAGATAGCTAACTATCGTAACAGTCGGAAGTCAACCGCCATATGCGTGGTAGTCAATGTTTACATTAATTATTGTTATCATTTCTTATCACTATGAAATACAATATATTAAATTAAATTGTTATTACTTATTACTAATAATAATTAATAAGTAATTTATTTAAATATAAAATAAAATTGTTAAGTACGTATAAGTATAAGTAGTATAACAAATATATAACTATATAATATATAATATTATATAAATGTATGAACCACGGAAAAGAGATTAAACAAGTATAACCAGGTAAAAACTATAAGTGGGTACTCGACCAATATAATACATTTTCACAATTAAGTGTCTTAAATATATTACGATCAAGCACAAATTTATTATTGACAAGTGCAATTATTTTATTTTCTAAATTTGGTATATTTATGTTTTTCAAGTTATCAGTTAGAAGCAAAAAGAAATGTTCTGCGGCATATTTAATTAAGTACTTAAAAATCACATAAAACAATTTTTTTTATGAAAAATGAAAATTATATTAGCAATAATTGACTGTATATAATACAAAGATGTATGCAATAAATTATTGATATAATATCTGTACAATAATATGATGATAAATTCGAATTGATAAAGTGATAACAAACAAAAACATTGACTACCACGCATATGGCGTTCGGCTTCTTAATCATAGTGCGTCAGATATAATCAGTTAGCTATCTAGTTATTGTATATATCTGTGGGTGGGACAACGCGCGCACTCACCAGACAATCAGACTGCCGCTGCAGCTGTTGTTCGGTCCGCGATAATGCACCGGCGCGAAAAGGAAATATTTTGAATATAGCTTGCGGAGCGAACAATAATAATAACTATATATTAATAGTATAATACCCCACTAAACGTTTAGTTCACTACTCGCTGTATCCTCCTCACAAAAACTTTGAATTCTTATAACGAAAAAATCTCCTTTTTAAAAAAAAAAACAATACACCTCTCCGCCCGTCAACAAAATACCTGAATAAGTCATACAGTGTGTGGTATAGTGTATAAGGCAGCAGAGACAATACGAGTACATAGGCTAGCACTTCGTCAAAGTACACTCCATAATATACGTTCACATCCATGCTTTCATGCACATGTCATTATATATATTATAGTGTAATATACACAATAGGTACACTATAGCCTTTAGGTACAATTCACATGAACGTTATGTAACTCATAAATAAATATTAAAACGTTTGTATATATACGTGTACAGGGTGTAACAGCAAAACCTGACGGATGAAATAACTTTTGTTCTAATCAATATTTTATAATTTTTTTTTTAATATACCGTATTATTAGTTTATAGTCCCTTGCGTTACACGTATAATATAAAAAAAATTTAATTTGATCTAAATTTTTTTGGATGAATTCAAAATAGCCATTTTGTGAATTTTATTATAAGAACAATTTTGATGGTAAAATCATTTATCTAAGGCAAGTAGTTTATTATTTATAATTTTTAAAAATATCAATATTTTTTTAATTAAATTAATATGGAACGTAATTCATTTTTCTTAAATAATATTTTTGGGAATTTGCTGACATTAGTATATTCGTTTAATTATTTACTAATCATATAGTTTACACAATTTTTGTCAAACGTTTAAGTAGCATCGTTTTTTTTTTCAGTTCTTCCTGTAACATCCTGTACATAAGTATATGTAAATGAATATGTAAATGTACTTGCACATTTGTCTGTTATAATTTAAAAATTGATTTCAGTCGTTCAGTCATCACACGTGATAAGTGCATCATGATATTATTATTATTAATATTTAGGGTTTTTTTAAGTTTCGACGAACGCCTATTGCGATATTATGGTGGGGACGAATTTTTCTGCAAACCGCAACAACGGTATCCGCCTTGTGTCCGGCTACAGGTAGGTACATAGCGGAGATACCTATATATATATATGAGGATAGCGACATGACAAACAAAACACCGATTGAGTTGGTTATCCCCGGAGGTTCCGTGTCTTCCACACTTCGCAGTTATACTAGATCGTCGTACATACTCTCAAGTCTATAATAACGTAGCCCAACTTTAGAACAGTCCTCAAATAATAATTTCTTAGTAATTCGCGTCGTACGCCGTCAAAGCCAAATAAAGTGCAATGGAAACAGCCGGTGGTATAGCCGAAACATTTAGAAATGGGACGTTCTTAGTTACCGGGAGTACGGGATTTTTGGGGAAAATACTCGTGGAAAAATTACTCAGGTCTTGTAACGTGAAAAATATAGCGATTCTCGTGAGGAGTAAAAAAGGATTGGATCCCAGTCAGAGGGTTGCAGATATCTACAAACAAGCTGTAAGTATACAATATAATATATAAACACGTTTTGTTTGTCATTAAATAATTTACATGTTACACGGAGGTTTTTTACCGTACTTATGTGTACTACCTTTTTATGTAATATCTAAAAAATATAAAGTACTATAGTCTAACAAAAATATAATATTAATAGACACGAATAGATCAATTAATATAATATTTATATTTCAAGGCAGGTATAATATCTTTATTTCTCTAATTCTTATTACTTATTTAAAAATAATAAATTCCAACATCCGAGTTAATAATCAAAATTAATACTGTAATGAAATTAAATAAACATCCTTGGAATTAAAATTTTTAAACCATCATAAAACATTTTGAGTATACGTTTTTATATTTTAAAATGGCACTGTGATTATTAATTTTAAAATATAAAAAAATTTGGTATAGCTGTTATACTCAAATAGTTTCATGAAAGTTTACAATTTTAATTACAATAATGTTTATTTATAATCTCAGAGCTGCAGTATTACATACCTATTTATATCTTAAATATAGTTTTATAATATTCTAGTTTTAGTACATTCTTTTATGGTTCAAAACATGATTTATAACCGTATAACAGTTAACTTTATCAAAAAATAAACAATCAATAAACGTAAAAAAAAACTGAATACCATTGAACATAATATGTTATTATAAATCATTTAATTAAATATTGACAACGAACAATAGACTTAAATAAAATGTAAACAAATTATTTCAAATAACGTTATTCAAAAATATAACTCTTGTGCTTTTTTTACGTATAGAACCTCACATAATATTATTATTTCTATCATGTTTAAATACTATAGGCATGAACTATTTAAAATTGAATAATTTTATCATTATCTGGTCTAATGTCTGAAAATTGAAAAACATTTTAGAGAACATAACTTATGAATTTTGTATTATTTATTATTTAAATAAAAGTATGTTTAAATCATTTCTATATCCTATGAATTGTATTATTTCTTGTAGCGATTCATTTTTGTTTTTTTTTTTTTTTTTGATCTAACCTATTCTACAAAGAACTTATAAAACAGAAATACATTTTTTTGAAAATTTAAAATTTAAAGTCATACAATCTATAAAATATTAATTGAGTAATTACATTTTTATACTAAATAAGACTTACAAATTAGAACACTTATTTGCAATGGTAGGCAAGTTAAGTTAATTTAATTAAATTGCCTTCAGTTAAGTTAAAAGTTACCAAAGAAAAAAAATTTAACCAGATAAGCTTTAAGTTAATAAAGAAAATAAAACTAACTTACCTCAATTAAAAAAAAGTTAATTTTTTTGAAGGTACAATATTTTTAACTCATAAGCTACCATAGTATTTTATTATACACAAACATTTACCAAGACATTTCACTGTGTAAAAAATTAGATTATTACAACATATAATTCGAAAATAAATTACCAAAATCTTGAAATAGTCGACGAATCAGTATTACCTAGTTGATAACGCATGACTTGAAAAGAAAATTAACTTAACTGCAAGACAATGATAATAAACTATAAAAAGTTGAATTACAACAATAAAAATTTTAACTGAATAATATAATAAGTTAAAAACAAAAATAATTAGCTACTTAAGTTAGGTTAGGTTATAGTGAATCGTGCTGAAAATGACAATTACATTGTATAGGTAATGTATATAAGTACTACAACTATAGTGCGATACCCAATAATCCGTTTTTCATTCTTGAACGAGTAGGTATTTATCTATAAATTAACTAAACCTATGTAGGATTAATATAATCAAATAATACAAAATCCTAACCTAACTGTACTGAAATCCGATAAATAAAAAAAAAAACTAAATTTAACCATTTTTACATTACAAACATCTTTAAAACAAATTGAGACAAATCGAACCAGCCATTCTCGATTGAAGAGGCAACGACAATTGTCCAAGCTCCATTTTAGATTCTGAGTGGAACAATGAATGTATTGATTTTACAATGATGTGTGTTTTTTTTTTTATTGATTTTTATGTCGTGTACACAATAAGTAGTCGAAATAATGCTTCGATTTTCAACTTCATTATCTTGTTCGATTGGAAAGTGAATATCGTTGGTGCATTGGAGAGGTCAAAATTTAAAATTACCAGTAATTTTCAAAAGCGCCAAGAAAAACAAAAATTACAATTGAAAAATATTAAAAATCCTAAGTCACGGTTTTTTTTATAATCATTTAAAGTTCAAAAATTGAAAAAATATGGAAAAATCACGAAAATACGCAAATTATTTTGAGTTAAGAATTCGTAAAAATTTTTCTTTTTAAATCTAAGTATTTAAAATATAATACAAGATTCCTTATAAGATTATCTACCTTTATCAAAAATAAAAATGTCTATAAGAAAGTCAAATTAAATTTTTATGAGCGTTTGAAATTTAAATTTTTACAACATTAGATATTCACTCGATTCCTCATGTAGCGATTTCTTTATTTTGTTGTAATTCGAAAACGAATAACTTTAGATACATTAGAATTTCACTGAATGTTTATATTAGCATTTACAATACACCATACAATTTTGAAAATGTTTTGACTATTTTTGAGCTATTAACGGAAATTTTCAGTTTTCAATTTTTTTAGTTTTTTTTCTATGAATATCAATAAAGTTTTATCTGTTTGGCCAAAAAATGTAAAATTTAATACAAGGCTTCTGATATATTGTTATAATATCAGTTGAAAAATATTAAAAAAACATAGGCACAATTTTTTTTTATAAGCATCTAAAGATCGAATTTTGACAATATTTATCAAATTTAAAATTAAATAATTATTTTGTAGTTAAAAATTTATAAAATGTTCAAATTTTATATCGAAGGATTGAAAATTTAAAAAAAGATTCCACATAAGTAGTTAATTCTGTTACCAAAAAATCTAAAAATACAGAAGGACAGGTTATTTTTATAGTCATTTTAAGTTCAAATTTGGACGAAATTACATAATAAAAAACCTAGAATAACTATTTTAGTTATTTTGTTATGATTGTATAATATTATTCGTGGGTACTTGAAACTTCTAAAGTACACTATTATATATCTATGATAGTATCAGGGTTTTGTTGTTGATGTATAACGTGTTATAAGTACCTACTGGACATTGTGATATGATTAATTTTGAATTTATTATAGGTATATTTTTTTCTTAATACCATAGATGAGTTTATAATATGTCTTGTACTTAGACTAACATACCGTCTCTGCTCGGAATTGTTTTTCTTATGCAATGATATTATATCATTGAATTCAAATTTAATACCATCCATTATACAGTGACCCATTTGTAACCTACTGTACAGCAGAGCAGCTTTTTTAAATTGAATACCTGCATATAATATATTATTAGGTACATATTATAATATTCTTTTTTTATTTTAATACTATTTTCGAAAGACTAATAATTAACATCACACTCAAACTTACAGTGCCTATACGGTTATACTTAGAATCACGTTAATTACAATTTTAATTTTGAAATAGAGTCAGGTTAAAAACATAATTTTTGCATCAACGATACAACTTGATATTTGAATGACTGGATACTTGATAACTGGATATACTTCATATTATTATAATATGTATTAATACTTGGACATTTAATTTCACAAATTATTATTCATTGTTTTGAGATTTGATGTGATAGTATTTTCCTATTCATTTAATGTCGCAATATTACGTTTATGTAAATTTTCCTCAACGGAACTATAATAAATCAATGAAATATTGAATATTATAGTAAATAAATATTTTGATAAGCAATAATTAATAATTCATTAATCATTAGTAAATAATAAATCCAAAAGCATCCCGGTAAAAATTTGTTCATCATACTATATTCCTTATAAAATCTTATTAAATAGTAAAATACGAGTAGTAAAATTATACAACATCCTTGACAATAATATAGGCTGACACACCACTCATCTCCGTTCAGAATTGACTTATTGAAATATTAAATATAAATAATAAAATGAATTAAAATTTAACACATCCATTGCAGCTCAAATAATATTTAATTTTAATTTTGATAGCTTTTCGAACGACTTCGTAATGAAAAACCCGATTTTATGGACAAAATTAAAGTCATCCATGGGAACATCGAAGAAGAATCATTGGGTTTATCGACAGCAGATCGTAACTGGATCTTGGAAAATGTGAATTTCGTTTTTCATTGCGCAGCTACGGTCAAATTCGACGAAGCCCTGGAGTTGGCGACCAAAATAAACATTCAAGGAACCAACAACCTGTTGACATTAGCCGCGCAGATGAAAAATCTTAAGGTACAATTTCGCAGTTTTCACGATTACACGTAGTACAAAATATGTATAATAATAACAGTATATTATTATGTACCATATTACCTTAGTATAGTTATGATACGAGTGCAGTGTAAAAAACCTGTTCATTTTTTTGTAAAACACAGACTAAAATCATACTTCAACTATATAAAATTCCGTGCATGTAATGAACAGGTTGTCATAATTTATCATTTCGCAGGGTTTTGTGCACGTGTCGACGGCATATTCGCACTGTCCAAGGAATGAGATCAGAGAACAATATTATCCGACTCCGGTCTCAGCCAAGGAGCTAAAAAATTTGATGAGGAAAGACGATCTGTCCGAATCTAAGTAAATATATTTAATAAAGTATAACGGCGTTGGTGATGGATTTTTTTTTCACATAGTAATATTATTAATTCGATTTAAATAATAGAATGTTAGAAAATTGGCCGAACACGTACACTTTTACAAAAGCAATTACTGAAAATATGATATCGACAAACGAAAACCGCTTGCCCATTTCCATTTTTCGTCCATCGATTAGTAAGTGTTTATTTGATTGATATAATAATATTATATTCATTAATATTTAGGTCATATTTCATATTATACGATCTTTTTCTTCGATCATTAGTTATAAATTTATAATAATCATGTTTAAATTATTTATGCCTTCGTCAACGTGGTCGACAATAATTACTGTTTGTATATTTTTATTCTGACGGATTTATATAATGGATAATTTATTACAGTTATCACTGTTGTGTACTGGAGACAAGCTTTATAATAAAATATATAGAATATATATTTAAAACCCAGTACTATGATTACGGCAAGGAAAAGGATTTAGCATGGTTTAAATATACAAGATTATTGCAATAGTACCCAAACTACATCATTTTATCACGTTGAGAAATTAAAATAGAAGCGTAAAGGGACGACCTATACTGGCTAATTGTACCTATGATATATGTATACTAAGATATGGACTGTACCCTTAAGCTGCAATTTTATTTTTGTTCGATAGGCTATGTGCAATAACCTTGCATATTAATTAAACCATGGGCTCTTGCAAGAATACATTAAAGTGATCACCTAAATTAGGTGATTAGAATTTTGGTATAATAAACACATCCGGCTAGCGAAATCACATATAACCACAAAATATCAAATGGCAGGATTATCATACAATAGTGCGTATTGGCAAAATGAACCAATTATCTTTTGGGTATATAATATTAATATATATAGTGTTTGAGTAATTAATGTGTATACATAAATATAAATGAGGATACACATTATTTTCAACCATCATAATATCATATACTATCGATAGCGTTGATAAACAGGATGTCCACAGTACTGCTAAGAAGGTAATATAAACGTAAAAATAACCTAATCAAGCATGGTTCAATGGCATTTCCTGGACGCCATGAGAACGTAGGCCTCAGGAATGGGATGACATATTAATTATCACTAGGAAAGGTTAAACTAGGATGCAGTAGAAATACTAGCAGAGTAGAGTCAGACGTGATACGCGATTTGCGAGAGCCACAACAAGCGTTATTGCATTTACAAGCAAATTTCAATACAAGTTTTAAGTGTCGAATAACAAATTAATAACAAATAATTCAAATCGTGTTATTATTCTGTCTCGTTAAACTCTCGTCATCCGAACACTTCAAAATGAACTCTGTACTTGGGATCACTATAAATTACGTACCCATCACGTTGAATATTCAGTGTTAAGTTCTTAAAACAGAATAACTTTCTGTACCTAGTCATAACGTTTTCTTGAAAAAAATGTGATCCCGTTTACAACTTCTGAAGTTGCGGTCACTAAACACCTGTCCGAATTACCGATATGAATGAAATGTCGAATAATCGAAAAAAATTCTATTTCGAACCGTGCACTAGATTTTATCGGTGAGATATCGTTTCCATAGTACAACAACAAATTGTTTACGATAAAAGTGAAGATATCCACTTAAAGTCTAAACGTTAGGCAGGTACTACAAAATATGGCTAGAACATTGAAAGTAAGTCCGACCTCAAAATTCTGACCACCACATTAACTCAGCTATTGTCAATATACTATACTTTATAGGTATTAGTAAATAAGTAATATCTTGCCATCTCTGTATATATTGTTATACTTCACTCAGGCAAAAAAATCAAGTAATTTATTTATAATTATATATACCCAACATAAATAGGATGTAGTACGATATGAATCGTATTGCATAAGGTGCATCCAAAATTAAATTAAGAAAAATCCGTTTAATAAAACGGGCATGGACCAAAATAAAATTTGTACCAATTGCGCTCTTTATATTTTACGGTCAATACACAAATTGTGCTTGTATTCAAATTTGTCTTATGGCTACCTTCAGATTTAGAAATATTGTTGTGCGATCAAATTCCATCAACATCAACATAAACCCACTAAAATACTTGAAAATTAAAAACGTATTTATTGATCAATTGATTATTGGTTATTATCGGTGTTGGGAAAATATAAAATATAAAATATATAAAAAATCATCTGGATAAGATAACAGATAATTCATTTAAAATTTATCTAGATAAGATAAGATAAAATATAACATAATTTTTTTTTATCTAGATAAAAAAATAGATAATTTGTTTTAAATTATATTATAAATAATATTATTTATTACTTTATTAGTAATTACCAATTAGATAATATTTATTAAATAATAAATTTTTAATGTCTTTTCTTAACTAAAATAATATACAATTTAAATTGTCAATATAACTTAAATAAAATTAAAATAACAAAATAAAACTGACAATGTTTCAGTAAACAATTCTTTTTTAACTGTAATAATATTGGAATTTGGAATCACTACTCGTTCTTGAAAATTATTGGCTATTTCAGTATTTAAAAATATTCTTATTGTTATATTATTTGTCTAGATAAATTACCACAGACCTTCATTACATTTATCTAGATAAGATAATTTAAGAAATAATTTTATCTAGATAATTCCCAACACTGGTTATAATACATATTACATTTTATAACGGTATCGGGAATTTTATGAAACCTTATTATTACTATTACGGACATTTGATGTATGCATTTGAGTGATGGAAGAAAACAAGTTATCATTATCATAAATTGTATATAATTGACGATAAAAAAGGAACTTGTTAAATGTGAAGAAAAAAATGCATTATTTATTTATATTATATTATTATGTATTATGCATAAATACTCGCAAAAAATCGTTTAGTGTATTCATTTATTATATAATTATAATTTAAACTATCCAATCAATTTTCCTTATTTAGTGTAAAATGTTTTAGAGCGCTATTGGTATATATGAAAAGGTCATTTTAAGCGCAATTGCAGGTAAACTCCCAATAAAACGATCAACGACAGTTGTTAAATAGTTACTGTTTTACATAACAACTAAACAGATTACCTACCTGTATTTTATTTTTTTTTAAATATGCACAAATAGTACATAGGTAATAGGTATATAAATTAATTATAGTTGTATAATATTACTAGCTGTCACCCGCGTGATCCTCCCCCATGGATAGTTGTCTGCAAACTGTGGGGCTGTTTCGTGGCTCCACAAATCCTGTCTATCTATCTTGCAACGTTTTTGATTATATGAAAACAGTATATTAATTAAGCTATGGTTTAACTAGCTATAATATGATGTGTATATGCCCAAGCAGTGGTGTACACACGAGGGGGTAGGTTTTTTCACCAAATAAAAAAAACTTAAATATATTTTTACAAATTATATGTCACAAATATAAAATATATATTATATTTTATATAATATACCCTCCCCACATTTGAAATGTGTGTGTACCTATGCTGCCTGCTTTCGTGTCTGTTTAAATAAAATATGAATAATAACTCAAAACTATGGTATAATTATATATACTCATAATATTGTATTATTGTGTAAGTAGTATTCAATACTAATATAATTTGTTTTTATAATATTTTACAGTCGGGTGCACGAAATCCGAACCAGAACCAGGATGGTTGGAAAACATGAACGGGCCCACAGGAATATTAACAGGTGCCATGGTCGGATTTTTGAGAACGATGAACATTGACACAGACAAAGTAACCGATATAATCCCAGCGGATTATACTGCCAACGCACTGATCAGTGTTATGTGGGATACCGTAAAAAGGTAAATGGTGATAATATTATATTATAACAATTATTAATAATATAATATAAATTAAGTCATACAATTTGTATTATGAAGTGCTGCTAACAAAACATTATTTTAGCACCACAATAATCATTATATTCCATGTAAAAATAAATTATGACAAAGCCTTCAACCAAAATAAAAAAATTAAAAAAATTTTATTAATTCGCTAATTTTGTTGAGGTAAATGTTATTCTTGTGGGCCATGATATTAGGATAAAATTCAATCAAATGTGTGTACATTGAATAATATAATATTTGACTTCGTAATTATAAGAGTAATGAGAATATTAATAACCAATATAACATGATAATATTATATGATAAACTTGCACCCAGTGCTCGAATTGGGAACAATTAAGTATAGATTTTTCAAAATATTTCCCTAACATGAAGACATATATAAGATCCATATGATAAAGTCTATTATAATATTTTGTATTTTGTGTACGCGCGTTGCTATATGTATATAATTTAATAATTTCGATAATTTGCAGACATGAAGACTGTGGTTACACAAAATATGAACAACCAAAAATCTACAATTACGTTTCAAGTGCTGATAGCCCGTTGACGTGGAACGAATATATTGGAGGAATAACTGAACATTACAACGTGTCACCACCTTTGCGGTCAATGTGGTACGGGTTTTTGGTTGCATACACCAACTTGTGGATCGGCATGGTTTTGAAATTTCTCCTGCACCGGATACCGGCAGCATTTGTCGACTTTTTGTTAATCATAAGCGGAAAAAGTCCCAAGTAAGCGACTTATTGTGTTATTTGTTTTGTAACATTGTTGTTACGGTGGTAAAACCCGAAAGCCATCTTCATCAAAATATATATATTATTAATTATATGTTATATCATTGATTATTGCGTCAACAAATTAACTAATATTATTAACACTTTATAAGCTAATAGCATACACAAAATATATCGGAGTTACTTTTGTTACTTTTTGTCTCGTAAGAGTTATAACTTCAAGTTAAATAGAAAAAAGTATCTAATACCATCACTCAAATTTTACAGTAAATATGATTTTCTTCAGAAACCCCGAACGAATTGTTTTGTCACACTCTGTGACTTCTGTAATCAGCTATGACGTATTATATTGTAATAGAGTTTTGATAATTTATATTTCTAATTTAATTCCAAGTTTACAAAACAATAACCATAATATATTAACAACAATTATATTTCAACGTGCATAATGTTATTAATATTATTATAATTTTAAATTTTTTTTGTACAGAATGTTGAAAATGTATGCGAAAACAGAATATATGACGGGTATAATTAAACTGTTTATTACGAGCCAATGGAAATTTGACAACAGCAATAGCGTCAAACTATTATCTTCACTAAGCATAGAAGACCGGGACCAATTTGAGTTCGGCATGGTCAATTTCGACTGGAAATCATATATAAAAAGCTATTACTATGGGATTAGAAAACATATACTGAAAGAAGAAATGAGTAACCTGGACAAAGCGTTATCTAAAAACCGGAAGTATGTATTTATCTATATGCAAGAGCACGAATATAATATTTAGTGTATAGTTTCGTTCATAATGAATAATTATATATTTAATAATGTACTAAAAAAAAATCACATATCGAGCATACCCATACTAGAATATTTGAAAAAAAAGTATTAATTATAATATTATACAAAAGTCCACAATAAATTCTACAAAAAATTATAGTTTTTTTTAAATCCGTATACATAATTAAAAGTTAAAAGTTAAAAGAAACTGTTTACTTATAATATTCCCATTGTCCCATTGTTTATAATATACGGTTATCGCTGCAGTGGCGTGTTTACGAGGGGATCAAGGTTATCAATCTCCCCCCATATTATGCTGTCTATAATAGACAAAATTTTTTTTAGTCCTAACGAAGGACGTCTAACTTTAAAAGCGAGACTACTGAATAAAATCATGGTCACCCCCCCCATGACAAAAACCTAAATACGCCACTGTATCGCTGTATATTCGTCTTCACGGTTATTTACAAATTCAAAGCACTATTAAATGTTAAAAACTTAAGGTTTTAAACATTTTTTACTGGAAATCTATAAACAAAAATAATTATATGGTGGTTGAAATGAACACCAAAATGAGATAATCAAAAATCGTATGGAAGGGCCAATGGAAATGGGCCGCAATTGTTACCCTTTTTTAAAAAACGAGTACTGTAATTGGGCCATTATTTAATAATTTGTATGACGATGCGAAATTTCCTCCACACATATGACGTGCTTCACGTCCTGAAATATTATAACTCAAACGAAAAATGACTCTATTCATTCACATTTCAAAAAAAATTCTTTATATCACGTCCAAATATCCATAATTTTTTTATTTTTTACCGAGAGTACAAATTTACAATCAAATATATAAATATATTGTACATTAAAATATTAAAAGCATAGGTATATAATACACATGAGGCCAGAAAACAGACTTTAGTCAGACATAATATTAGTATGTATATTCTAAATGAAACGAAGAAATAAACCTACCTACGAGGGTTTGATTTTGTACAATCTGCTATGGTATCTCATTATTTTTAATAATAGTTGTCTTTGGCTTATTATTAATATAATTACTATAACGTTTATAATTGCATGACTGGGTATAATTTTGAAATATATATTTTTGTTTAATTTAATCATTTCGTGACTTTGTTGAATAAATACTTAATGACAAATTATTAAATTGATTTATATTAAAGTAATTTTAATTAAGTTATAAATATGTGGCACGATTTCTGGTACTCTTCAAAAATTATATAGTTTTGTTGTAGCCCAATAGGTACCCTGCATGTAATAAAATAAAAAAACATTTTGTGTACGAAGAATAAGTTAATAAAAATATATGTGGCCAATTTCCGACAGCTCATATTATAATATAATATAATATAATATAATATTGTTATAAAAACACCAAAATCCCATTGTACCTGGCTATTTAATTTCAGATATTACATTTTTAACTTTATCGTTCAAACGTGCCAAACATAGAAACTTAATCAACAATTTTTTTTCATTGCTATTTCGAGTTTTACCTAAAATAACAGTGTTAACAAGATTTCTATAATATTATGTTTGTTAATTATTATATATATTTTTTTTAATTGATCTTTTTAAAGCCCGGCGACTATGGCCATTAGCTTGATTGTAGGTAGTAGGGTTTGAAATTGTAGGGTTATTACACGTGTGTGTTGTGTTTGGCAGAATTTCTATTGGGGCACCCGTAGGTTTCTGCCATGCCCCGGAGTGGGGGATGGCGGCACTTGTTCTCCGGACACCGTGACTTGCCCGGAGAAAAATGCCGCCCAGTGGTCGAGAGAATCGAACCCGCGACCGCCAGAGTTCGACCGCTCGGCCACCTGGTCCCCCTTATTATATATAATATTGAGGAATAATAACGATTTATAAGTAGGTACATCGACACACGGTAGGTAATATTATGTACATATTATTACATATTATTATATTGGCACTCTGTAATATGAATTTTTATTTAAATATTTACTTACATAATTATATACCTACTCGTTAGGTAATTACAATATCATTTAAATATTATAAAATATAATAGGTACTTACTATCTTATTTCACAAAATAATTTGTATATATATAACTGTATACTGTCACTTCCTTATAAGTTATAATGTAAACATTTTAATACCTATTAGTATGTATTTTTTAATTATTTTTTTTTTTTGAAACCAACATTTGAACCAATACCAAAAAAAAAAAAACAAATCAATCAGCATAATAGTATGTAACACAGAGGCACGAAATAATAAAATATAACAATAATACTAAAGACTATAATATATTTATTTAAATATTTTTATTTTAAGCCTCAGGATTGTACAAATATGTGTTGCGTCACATTATAAAAATAAAATATAATATACGTGGTTTCTTAACACTGAAAAGCTTCAATGCGCTTTCCCCAACAAATATATTATGAGGGTGAACTACGATTGTATAGAGATTTATTCAATAACCCATTAATTTTTTTAACATAACACTAATAACGCTTTTCGGTTATAAATGTGAAGTGTGCATAATGAATATCAATGTTCAATGCCAAAAGAATCACCTAACCCCTCTATGCCAAAAACATTATTAAGAGTTATGACAATATTTACATGTGTATTGATTTATGTATTGTTTTAATTTTTCAGGTTGTACTGGTTGCATAAGTTGTGCGTCGTTCTATTTTTCTATTTCATATTACAATTGTGTTGGACTTGTATAAAATATATATCGATGGGTACACAGCAAAACCTCGTAAGTCACTTTTATCAAATTGCTCAGTAACAGCAAAAAACTGTGACGTGTTTACATTGATAAGATAGGATATGAGCATTTGTTTTGTACGATATCTTATGAAATTAGGGGGAAATAATATGAAATTACGATATCAAAATGTGCACAAAAATACAGTGCATCCAATAGATAAAAAAAAAAAAATTAAAATTTCAACTTACGAGGTTTTGCTGTGTAGCCATTCGATATGTTCATTTTAAATTAAATATAATATTATAAATGCATGTGATATAATCATCGGCCCTATATGATTACGAAGTGATAAATTATAATGGAAATTATAGTTTTTAAGAAAACATCAATATTTTTTCTGTACCTACCTACTATTGTAATTAGCGTATAATTACACTATCGGCATATTATTTATTTATGTATACTAATATAATATACTATACTAATATATAAAAAAATCAGTCTTCGTATTTCTCATTTCATAAATATACCTAACCTAACCTATACCTATAGTGGTAAATGGTAATACATATAGTGGTACATAGTGGTGGTGTGTCGGCGTTTATTTTTCAAAGAGGCTGGTCACTACTCACTATAATACGCAGAAAGGTCAATGCAGATCACAAACCAGTGTTGGGTTTTTGTTGTTGATATCAATGGAAAATATATTTAGTGGTATAAAATAAGAATTTTAAATAAGAAATAGATATCGAAATAAAATTGTAAAGGCCAACACCCCTATACATATTTTTAATATTGTACCATAAAGAATAGATCACTATTGATAATGCCATAAGTTCGGCAGATAGTTGCTATTCTTAAATTAGGTATAAACCTTATTATATAATATAATATGACATTGAAGCTTAAATGTTGACGAAGACTCGATATTGGCGATAACATTATTATATACGCTTCACGGCGCAAGGTGGCCCTGAAGAGAACAAAATTTCCATTTCGGTGGCTTATTTTTATGGGTAAAACACTATTCCGTACGTTCGTTGTCGGCGATACCTTTTTAGGGATTTTACCAATTGAGTGTAAAATAAGTAAATGACCTTTTCATATGCCTACCAATATTGCTCTAGTTTCATTATCTGGGTCGATATACCAATAATTGCGGTCGGTACTAATGGGGTGCTCAAAAAGCTGTAGTCTTAACCAGTAGGTAGTCCTTACAAAAATGATCTTCAAGAAAAATCATTAGTTGCAACAAGAAAAATCAAAAACATTAAAATGAAAAAAGAAAAAGTTGAAAAACAAAATATTAAAAAGAACATTTTTGACAAGAAAAATAATAAATCAAAAAAACGAAAAGTTGAAGATATACCATCAACATCAAAAGGCATAAAGGCTGTTGGAAATGAAAATTGGTATTGCCCACTGTGTAAAGAAAACAACGAATTGGACATGATAATGTGTCCAAAATGTAGTGTTTGGTTTCACGAAGACTGTTTGGGTTTACTACCTAAAGATGATTTTATATTATGTAATTGGTGTGAAAACAAATAAATAGATTTTTATTTTCTTATAAATTTGTTTTAAGCAAGTTCTGCCATAATTTGTTTTGTTAATTTTAGTTTGATAAATTTGTTCCTGCTGTTTTAATTGATTAGTTTTTTTTAATAGAATGTTGTTTTAAATAAGTAAAAAGTTGAGATTAAAATTTGTATTTGTTACCTATAACTACTGTATAATTAACAGATTAACATAATATTGTGATGTTTAAGCAAGGTCTGTCATAATTTATTTTGTTAATTTTAGTTTGATAAATTTGTTCCTACTATTTTAATTGATTAGTTTTTTTTAATAGAATGTTGTTTTAAATAAGTCAAAAGTTGAGATTAAAATTTGTATTTGTTACCTATAACTACTGTATAATTAACAGATTAACATATTGTGATGTTTAAGCAAGGTCTGCTATAATTTGTTATAAATTTTGATTATTTTTGTTAATACAGACAAAAATTATCTTAAAAGATAATTTTAGTTTGGTATATTTGTACCTACTGTTTTATTTTATTAGTTTTTTTCAATAGAATGTTATGTTTTAAATAAGTAAATTTGAGTTTGATATTTTAATTTATTATACCTACTGTTTAACTAACAATAATGTGATATTTAATAAATTTAAATAAAGTTTTTATACCTACTAAGTTATTATTTTGATTGTTTTATAAAAGGTCCAAATTAAGAAACGGGTGGTCCATTTTAAGGTACTGGTTGCCTATATTGGACCACTTAATAAGTTTTACTAAAGTTAAAATATTTCACAGTCAAAATTAAAAATTTGAAAAAATGTTTGTGTAAAATTGTAGCTTAGAAATCTATGTATCTTTGTAGTACAGTTTCATGAATATCTTTCATAAAAATTAGCAGAAAAACTAAAAAATGTCACAAATGGTCCAAAATAGGCGACTCTCCCCTATTCTAGGTTTTTTATTATGTAATTTCGTCCAAATTTGAATTTAAAATGTCTGTAAAAAAATACTGTGTTCATATATTTTTTAGATTTTTTGGTTACAATATGAACTATTTAGGAGAACCTTTGTTTTAAATTTGTAATCCTTAGCTATAAAAACTGAACATTTTATAATTTATTAATTACAATGATTGATAATTTTCGATTAATTTTGATAAATTTTGTCAAAATTCGATCTTTAAATGCTTATAAAATAAAATTGTGCCTATGTATTTTTAATATTTTTCAATTGCTATTGTAACAATATATCAGGAGCCTTGTATTAAATTTTTACACTTTTTGGCTCAACAGATAAAACTTTATTGATATTTATAGAAAAAAAAACTAAAAAAATTGAAAGCTGTAAATGTCCGTAAACAGCTCAAAAAGAGTCAAAATATTTTCAAAATTGTATGGTGTATAGGAAATGCTAATGTAAACATTCAGTGAAATTTTCATGTATCTACAGTTATTCGTTTTTGAATTACAACAAAATAAGGAAATCGCTACATGGGAAATCGAATGAATATCCAATGTTGTAAACATTTGAATTTCAAACGCTCATAAAAATTTAATTTGACTTTCTTATAGACATTTTTTTTTGATAAAGGTAGATAATCTTATAAGGAATCTTATATTCCATTTTCAAATCTTAGATTTAAAAAGAAATTTTTTTACGAATTCTTAACTCTAATTTGCTAATTTTCGTGATTTTTCCATATTTTATCAATTTTTGAACTTTAAATGCTTAAAAAAAAAAAATTGTGACTAAGGATTTTTAATATTTTTTATCTGCCTTTGAAACAATATACTAGGAGCCTTCTATTAAATTTTCAAGCTTTAGCAACCAACAAATAAAATTTTATTGATATTTTTAGAAAAAAAACTAAAAAAAAATGGAAAATGAAAATGTCCCTAAACAGTTCAAAATATTTTGAATTATCGTGTATAGAAAATGCAAATATAAACAACTAGTGAAAATTGCATGTATAAACGCTCATTTGTTTTAAGGTTACACCAAAAACCAAAATCGATTTTCTCGAAAACAGATTTTGAGTAAAAATTCCCGTTTTTCCTTAATTTTTATGTTGTTTTTTGCGGCGCTTGTGAAAACTGCTGGGAAATTTTTACTTTTGAAAACTTAAAACAAGATTTCACGTAAATAATTTTTTCTGTTACCAAAAAATCTAAAAAATACAGAAGCACAGTTTATTTTTATAGTCATTTTAAGTTCAAATTTGGACGAAATTACATAATAAAAAACCCAGAATAACTATTTTAGTTATTTTGTTGTGATTGTATAATGTTATTCGTGGGTACGTGAAACTTCTAAAGTATACTATTATACATCTTTGATAGTATCACGGTTTGATGTTATGTATAATGAGTTATAAGTACCTAATAGATATTGTGATACGATTAATTTGGAATTTATTATAGTTACCTATTATAGGTCAATTTTTTGTTTAATATCATAGATTTGTATATAATATGTCTTATACCTAGACTGACATACCGTCTCCGCTAAGAATCGTTTTTCTTATACACTGATATTATATCGTTGAATTCAAATTTAATATCATCCATTATACAGTGACCCAATTGTAACCTACAGTACAGCAGAGCAACATCCACTTGTCCATCTTTTTTTTATTTTTTTTTATTTTTGTGTCTGTCATCACGTTTTAGGACAGTAAAAGTGCTTGGATTTTCTTCAACAGTACCTTTTCTGATAGGAAAGTGAATCTAGTTGGTACATTGGGTTGTCAAAAGTAAAAGTTGGGTTCTCAGTAGTTTTCACAAGCGCCGGGAAAAACAACATAAAAATTAAGGAAAAACTGGAATTTTTAAGCAAAATCGGTTTTCAAAAAAATAGATTTTGGTTTTTGGTGAAACATTAAAACAAGTGAACGTATATACATGAAATTTTCACTGGTTGTTTATATTTGCATTTTCTATACACGATAACATTTTTAAAATATTTTGATTTATTTTGAACTGTTTAGGGACATTTTTATTTCCCATTTTTTTTTAGTTTTTTTTCTAAAAATATCAATACAATTTTATTTGTTGATTGCGAAAGCTTGTAGTATATTGTTTCAAAGGCAGATGAAAAATATTAAAAATCCTTAGTCACAATTTTTTTTTTTATAAGCATTTAAAGTTCGAAAATTGCTAAAATATGGAAAAATCACGAAAATAAGCAAATTATTTTGAGTTAAGAATTCGTAAAAATTTATGTTTTTAAATCTAAGATTTTAAAATGTAATACAAGATTCCTTATAAGATTATCTACCTTTATCAAAAAAAAAAAAAAAAAATGTCTATTAGAAAGTCAAATTAAATTTTTATGAGCGTTTGAAATTCAAATATTTACAACATTGGATATTCACTCGATTTCTCATGTAGCAATCTCCTTATTTTGTTGTAATTCAAAAAAGAATAACTGTAGATACATGATAATTTCACTGAATGTTCAGATTAGTTAATTTTTGTTCAGATTGTTAAGTTTTATCTGTTGAGCCAAAAAGTGTAAAAATTTAATACAAGGCTCCTGATATATTGTTAAAATAACAATTGAAAAATATTAAAAATACATTGTCACAATTTTTTTTTACGATCAAATGTTGACAAAATTTATCACAATCTCGAAAATGATCAATCATTGTAATTAATAAATTATAAAATGTTCAGTTTTTATAGCTAAGGATTGCAAATTTAAAACAAAGGTTCTCATAAATAGTTCATACTGTAACCAAAAAATCTAAAAATATATGAACACAGTTATTTTTTACAGACATCTTAAATTCAAATTTGGACGAAATTATATAATAAAAAACCTATAATAACTATTTTAGTTATTTTGTTGTGATTGTATAATATTATTCGTGGCCTCGTGGGTACTTGAAACTTCTAAAGTATACTACTATAATATATCTATGATAGTATCAGAATTTGTTGTTGGTGTATACCGCGTTATAAGTACCTAATGGCTAATGGATATTGTGATATGATTAATTTGGAATTCATTATAGGTCAATTTTTTTTAATACCATATAGATAAGTATATAATATGTCTTAAACCTAGACTGGCATACCGTCTCCGCTCAGAATCGTTTTTCTTATACAATGATATTATATCATTGAATTAAAATTTAATACCATCCATTATACAGTGACCCACTTGTAACCTACTGTACAGCAGAACGACACCCACTTGCCCGCCTTTTTTCTATTAAACTTAGCTTTTTTTTTCAAATAAGATTTATATTATTGGATATCAAAAAATGGCATGGCACCCTGACACAATCTATATTTGATATTTATTAAAAAAAATTTCAATAAAAATCATAGTTCAAAATAAAATACTGTATGTAATAAAAAAATTAATTTGATTAAATGTAATATGAATAAAAATATAAAATTAACAAAAAAAGCTTATTCAAATTTTTTTTTTTTTTTTGTCATATTTGTTTTTTATTTGTACAATCTGTATAAAAAAAAAAATATTTACAATAAGTACAATGGAGATAATGATAATATATTGGTAATTGGACATGGTTGACTTGTTGAAGAGACTATTCATTAATAGCACTTCATGGCAGGATGGTGGACTCGTCAACTAGTCGACTAGTAGGTCACGGCACCAGCTACGCTTTAAACGTCGGCCAGGGTCGCCCGGGATTGTTCGGAAAGATAGGTTTTGGATGAGAGGGTTCGGTGATTTGAAAGTTTAAGGTGGAAACGTTTATATAGGGTTTTGGCGACGTTTTTTACTGTCGGAATGAGGAGGTCCCTGTGGAGGGTATCATTTGTAACATAAAAAGGGGCTTTAGTTATCTGCCTGAGGCATTTGGATTGAAATGTTTGGATTCGGTTTATATTGGAGTCTTTGGCTGAACCCCAGAGTTGGATTCCGTAGGTCCAGATAGGTTTGAGGAGTACTTTGTACATCAGGATTTTATTGTGTAGTGAGAGATGTTTGGATGATAGGAGGAGGCGAAGTTGTCTTTGACGATTATTTAGTACAAGTCGTTTGTTACGTATGTGG